AGCTTGTCAAAAGTTTAATCAACAAATATTGAATGGTCGAGAAAATGTAGTGTCTTTACATTTTTGGATATTTCTCGGAAACTATAAGAGATATTTTAAATATTGAATAAATATTCTAAATTCATGAAACAATCAATGTAAATTTTAAATAAACGTTATTTTTTGAATTAATTTGCATTTACATATTTATAAAAAAAAAAGTTACATGAAAATAGTAACAAATAGTAATAGACGAACTAAATAGAATTCTTAAATTGGAACAAACAAAAATTAATTGAAAACTTTCCCCCTTCAGGTTTTGGAAACATGATGTTGCTTCATGTTTGATACAATTACTTTAAAATTGGGACTTTTTGATGTAAGAGCAATTTGAATACAGTCTTCGGCGTTTAATCGATTTCTGTTTTTCGTTTTTATGTTCATTAGAGGTGGAAAAGCCTTGTTCACAAAATTAAGTTGTTGCAAATGTCAGCAATTTTTTTTACCGCCTTCTCATCTGCAATTTTGAAAGATTTTACAGTCTTTGACCACCAAAAAGACGACAAGATTTGCTTTGGTCTCAAATTGAATACAGTATTGGATAGAAGTTCAAGAATTGCCTCTGCCAAACCTTGAAGTTCTTCTGGTATGTTAGTAATTTCACATTTAAAAGGATCTACAACCCAATTCACAGTTTGTACATCAAGATCTGGAAAGTAGTCAGAGAACCGCTCTCTGAGTTTGGTAAGATGAAATTAGAAAAATTTCCCTATTACCCCAAAAAAAAAATCATTTTTACCCCATTTTGGGTAATTTACAGGTGGTTTTCGAAAATCGTTTATATTGCTTGGATATTCAACAAATTTCTCAAATTAAACTAGAAATGATAATGTAGAAAAAAAAAATCGTATTCAATTGTTTGCTAATTACAATTATGGATGTTGGTAGCATTGGAACAAATTCGACGAAAAAGGGTGGATGCAAATTTAGAGTCTTCTTTTCGAGAGAGAGAGAGGGTAGACGGTGCTGAGGGAGGTGGTGTGCAGAAGAGGGTGCATTTTTTTTTTAATGTGTGTGTGTGTGCCGTTTTGACAGCGCCTCACTGCAATTGTGCGGAGAGTATAAGAAGCGTTATTGATCGCATTTTTTGATCCCCAAACCTCTCCTCCTCCACCACCGCCGTCACCCTCCTTCGAACACCGAAACCCTCCTAAAACACCAACCCCCCAACCCGCCCATCCCCACTACTTCTTCATCAGTTTCCTGCTAAATGCACCAAAACGTTGCAACTAATTGCATGCGCTCTACCTTAAAATACTTGAATAAATGAAAAAAACATGCGTACCAACTACTTTTTCTGAATAGTCATCAACATACATATCCAAAACAAAAAACCACCCCAATCCTAACGTGCACACACAAACACACACAATACCAACTTAACAAGAAAATAAGCGCATGCAAAGCGAGTGAGAGAGAATTAAATAAAATTACGTAAATCCTAGAGTGCGTTTCGCATGCAAAAACAAAACACGTGGCACTTGTTCACTGAAATTAGAGTCTTAATCACCACTAATTACTACACTCTAAATGCGTAAATCATTATTATGATTATCATTATTATCATTATTATTATTATTATAATAATAATACGTGAATGTGAAAAATGGCGATTAATTAATCGAGATTTCGCCTCGTCGATTCCATTCAGACGTACCGGTACGTCCGTAATTGCTGAATAGGTCGATCCACGTTATTATACGGAGAGAGAGAGAATTTCGTAATCGCAATTAGTATTTAGAAGTGTAAAGAGTCGTAAAACCAAATCTGAAAAATTCATAGAATTTTGTTGAATATTAATTTAACTATGTTTAAAAGTTTAAAAAAATGTCTTATTTTTGTTAATTAGTAAAGGATATTCAGATTTGGTCACTAACGAAGAAATTAACGATGGGCGAGCGAAGCGAGTCCTGAGAACAATTGAAGTAAGAGTGTAATCATACTTCAGTTGTTTTCAGGACTCACTTCGTTCGCCCATCAAAAATAAAGGATGTTTAAATTTGGTCACTAACGAAGAAATTAACGATTCGTTAATTAATTACAAAATATGTATATAGTTTATACTTTTTTAAATTGAAGAGAAGAAGTCGACGATGAAAGAAAGTTAAATATTATTTCAGTAAGCTTCAATTGTTTTCAGGACTTATTTCATCAAAGGAATAAATAAAATTTTGTCACTAACGAAGAATTTAACGATTTGTTAAGTAACTACAGAATCTGTATAGAATTAATAATTTTCATATGTAAACAATGGAAGACAACGATGGGCGAGCGAAGCGAGTCCTGAGAACAAATGAAGTCAGTATGTTACTTCAAACTTCAATTGTTTTCAGGACTCACTTCGTTCGCCCATCAAAAAAAAGGGATAGTAAAATTTGGTCACTAAAGAAAGGATTCAACGATTCATTAAATAACTACAAAATAGGTATAAAGTTTACAATTTTCCAATGTAACCATCAGAAAACAACGATGGGCGAGCGAAGCGAGTCCTGAGAACAATTGAAGTAAGTATGTTTCTTCAAATTTCAACTGTTTTCAAGACTCACTTCGTTCGCCCATCCAAACAAAGGATATTTAAATTTGGTCATTAACGAAGAAATTAACGATTCGTTAATTAACTACAAAATATATATAAATTACAATTTTCCAATGTAAAAAGCAGAAATTAACGATGGGCTAGCGAAGCGAGTCCTGAGAACAATTGAAGTTAGTATGTTTCTTCAAACTTCAATTGTTTTCATGATAAATAAAATGATAATATTTTTGTTGAATTCAAGTGAAACGAAATCTATTCAACAATTGGTTAAGTTCTTGTGCGTTTGTTGCGGACGGTAGAAGCAAAAGAGAGAGACTCGGACAACGCGTCGAAGAATGGGCGAGGTCAGAAACGGAAATTTTCGGGCGAGCGCTCGTGTAATAATTGCAAAACCGCAAAGGCGAAAGGACGGATGGCGGAACGAAGGCACGAGAAGAGGGAGACTCTTGAAGCAAGGTCAAAAATTGGTGTTGAAGATTTCGTGCATGCTTCGTTTTTGTTAAGATATAGAGATAGAGAGAGAAAGAAGGAAAATTGCAAGAAGAAGAAGAAGCGGATGGATGATGATGATGATGATGAATTCGGGGTAGGGATGGATTACGATGCGCTCGCGAAAATAAAAAAAAAACAAAATATGTATGCGGAGGGGTAAAAAAAATGGGAGCAGAAAAACAAACGAATTAAACAGAGACGGTCAATATTTTAACCTATGAAATTAATGCGTTAGAGAGAGAGGGGAAACGAGACAGTTTGATGGTGGTGGTGGAGGGGAGAGAAGGAACGTGTGTGTGTGAGAGAGAGACAGAGAGAGAGTTGGAAGGAGGGAGGTGGATGGATGGATGGGTGGAGGAGACGCGCGCGCGACTTCGTTTTTCGTGGAAACAAAGAAAGGATGATGATAAAAGTTTTGGAAAATTGTTGGGAGAGAAAGAAGGAAGGAAAGATGTGGTGGATGGTGGATGGAAAGAGAGAAGGCGACGCGACGCCGAGCGTCCTGTATCTCCATGGTCACGTGTTTGTCGGGAGAGGCGACGACGACGTCCTCTCTCTCCTCTCGCTGCGGCGGTGTGCGACGGTCTCGTCGTCGTCGTCGTCGAAGGTGGTAGAGGTGGTGGATGAGGAGTAGAAGGAGGAGTAGGAAGAGGTGATGGTGGTGGGGGGCGGCGGCAGTAGCAGAAACATCGACGGTGGCGGTGGTGGTGGAGGCAGTGGCGGTGGTGGAAGAGGTGGTGGAAGAGGAGGTGGAGGAGAGGAAATGCAAGTGCATCTAAGCGCCGAGTGGCGTCGTACTTGTTGCGTCACTCTGTGACGTTGCAACACACAGAGTAGCGACTGTCAATTCATTGAGCTTTTGTAGGTAGCAAAAATTAGGTATGAAACGACTCTCTCGCACATACACTCCAACCAACCAACCAACACACGCACGCACTCGTACACACACACTCACTCATACAAACACATAACAACTGCGAGAATCTCGAGGTTTTCGCTCACTTCGGACACCTAGTTTTAGTCGTTACCACATACTCACACAAGACCCAATTATCCACCAAAAAAACAAAAAAACACAACACTTCAAACAACATAAACAAAAAAAAAACAAAAGGTATCAAATTAACAAAACAAAAAAAAATCCAATAACCACTCGATTTTAATTAATTAATTAATTATTTTTTGTTTTGTTTATTACAGACACTAAGGGATTTTTTGGAGCGACGATAACAACACCTGAGGATGGCGGAAAGTGAAAAGTTTTGAGTGCAAACAACAACAACAACAAGAAGATGCGACGACGCGCCGGGGATTATTAACAAATTTAAAACAAAAGTTATTTTATTCTGCGAATGTGATAAAATTAATTTAATGAATTAATTCAAGTGCAAACGAACTTTACGAAACATAAAACAAAAAAAATCAAGTGCGCGTAAACAACAACAACAACAACAACAAGAGAGAGAACAAAATCCGAATCGAACAAGTGATGATGAAGTGCGTCCGAATTTAATTCTTTTAATCAACACTAAATTTCCAAGTTTTTCTTTTCTTTCTTCGATAATAAATAAATAAGTGCGTCGACGTGTGTGCAATTTTATACGATTTTCATCTTCGTCTCTTAATCAAATTACAATTAAATAATTTAATAAACACACACACTCAGAATACATATTATATATTGAAAGAAGTTTGTGTATGTTTGTATATATATAAAGGAAAGAAAAGAAAGAAAAAAAAGGGGAAACAAATCAGAGAGGTGTGTGTGTGTGATATGCACGAAACTGAGGAGCTGAGATGGGAAAACGAAACGGAGTCGTGAATCGCGAACGAAGCGACGCTCGCAGTTTAGCAAACCTTACGCCTCGAAAAAATGGCGGACTGTTCCTATTCGCGATGCATCCAACAGAGAAGAAACATTAGAAGGGAACTGCAACGATGGACAAAAAATATGGTGTACATAGTCGGTGAGTCTAACCTCTACTCTACTCTTAACACATTACAACATTTATATCATATTATCTGTGAAACTGCAACTGTTTCATTCACCAAAAGATAACAATAACAACAACAACAACAACAAAACTAGATTTAAGTTTCATCTAAATGAAGAAATTTAACTTGCATTAAAAGTAATCAAACAATTATATCGAACAACAACAACATCAAAAATTTCCTTTAAATTTAATTGCGTTTCAAAAAAAAAGATTCCATTAATTAATGATGTCTCAAATTAAATTAAATTAAAAAAAAAAAACAACAACACGGACAACATTAAACGTGAAACAACAACGTCTTATCTACATATTACTCAATTTCATTTAAATTTAGATTCGTACAAAACAAAAAAAAGTTTGAAAAGAAAACTTCGAAAACGTTATTATTTCTTAAATAAAGCCACAACATTCATTTTGAACAACAACATTCACTAAAAGATAACAACAACAACGACAAAAAAACTACATTTAGTTTCATCTAAATGAAGAAAATAACATCAAAAATTTCCTTTAAATTTAATTGCGTTGAAAATACTTTAAAAAAAAAACGATTCCATTAATTAATGATGTCTCAAATTTAATTTAAAAAAAACAATTATTAACAACACGAACAACATAAAACAACAACGTCTTATCTACATATTACTCAATTTCATTTAAATTTAGATTCGTACAAAACAAAAAAAAAAGTTTGAAAAGAAAATTTCGAAATCGTTATTATTTCTTAAATAAAAGCCACAACATTGATTTTGAACAACAAAAAAAAAAACAACAACAACATTCACTAAAAGATAACAACAACAAAAAAACTACATTTAGTTTCATCTAAATGAAGAAAACAACATCAAAAATTTCCTTTAAATTTAATTGCGTTGAAAATACTTTCAAAAAAAAGATTCCATTAATTAATGATGTCTCAAATTAAATTTAAAAAAAAAACAATTTATCAACAACATGAACAACGTAAAACAACAACGTCTTATCTACATATTACTCAATTTCATTTATTTAGATTCGTACGAAACAAAAAAAAGTTTGAAAATAAATTTCGAAATCGTTATTATTTCTTAAATAAAAGCCACAACATTCATTTTGAACAACAAAAAAAAACAACAACAACATTCACTAAAAGATAACAACAACAACAACAAAAAAACTACATTTAGTTTCATCTAAATGAAGAAAATAACATCAAAAATTCCTTTAAATTTAATTGCGTTCAAAATACTTTCAAAAGAAAGATTCCATTAATTAATGATGTCTCAAATTAAATTTAAAAAAAAACAATTATTAACAACAACGTAAAACAACAACGTGTTATCTACATATTACTCAATTTCATTTAAATTTATATTCATCCAAAAAAAAGTTTGAAAAGAAAACTTCGAAAACGTTATTATTTCTTAAATAAAGCCACAACATTCATTTTGAACAACAACACTTGAATTGATATAAAATGATCCACTTATTAACTAAATGTAGTGTTAATTTCGAAGCGTAAACAACAAAATCAAAGTCACTTCTAAAATTCTAAAAATGCAACAATAAATAACTATGACCAAATATACAAAAAAGAAAAAACAACATTATTTCACTTGAATTCCATTACATTCAAAATAGTAATTCAATCGAGTAAGTAAACAAAGGAATTTTTCTTTCCTCGAATTGCCACAATTCGCAAAACAAAACAAAACAACAACAAGTGTCCAAAAAGAAAACAAAAAAAATCTGCGTGTTTCGGAATTGTTGGCGAGAGGTCAGGATTGCGCGCCTCTATTTGCAAGCGCGCCGCGGCGCACAACCTGTTGCCGGCCACCAATTTCGGGGACGGCCTAATTTAAACAATAACAAACGGCATTCAACAACGGCGCCAGCAAAGAGTACAACAAGTTGGCGTCGAAACGAACGAAATTTAGGTAATATTAGAAGAAGAAGAAGGAAAAGAAAAAAAAACGAATTGCAACGCCGGCTTATTTTTTTATTTATTTTTTTTTTTAACCGGCGCCATCTATTCGGGGGTGGCTCCGACGGTGTGCGTGCTTCCTCTTTTTTTCTCTTTCTCCCTCTTCCTCATCCTCATCCGCGCACAACCCCCCCATCCCCCCGTCCACATTGCGCCCTGCATTTAATGATTTTTAAGATGCAGCCATCTCTCCGCCCCCTGCCACCTCCGCCCCCCACCGTCGCCGAACATTCCTTCCTCCTTTGTTTTTTTCTCTCTTTCTTACTTCTTTTTTTTTTTTGTTTCTTATATTTGTTTCCTCCTTCCGTCCGACTCGATCATTATTATCATTATTATTATTTTTCGCGTTTTTTTTTTCTTCTCCCTTTTCTTCTTTCTCTCGTGCAGCGAAATTTTTTCCCCCTGACCGTCGCGACGCCGAATTTAGTTCGCACCCGGCGACGCGACGCTCCCTAGCAACGCGCGTCGCCTTACACGCAACGCGTAAATAAATAATATTGTTACCGTGACAACCACTGTTTTTTTTTCTCTCTCTCTCTCTCATCATTATTGTTCAAATTCGATGACGTCTCGTTTCCGTGTGCGGGCTTCAGTTTTGAAGGGCCAGACAGAAGGGTGAGTCTTTTCTTTTGTGTTTTCGGGGCTCGTGGGTTGTTTTCTTTCAGTATAAGCATGTGTATGAGAGAGACAAAGACAAAGAGAGAGAGAGAGAGAAAGAAGGTGCAGCGTTAGTCCTGCAGAGTGCATTGCGGTCGCGCGCGCCGCCTCCACGCAACCACCCCTACCTTTCCCACCCCTTTCTTACGTGCTCTTATATAATCGGTGATACCGCACGCAGGGAGCGGCACACCGCATTTTCCGATACATTTTACCGAAAAAAAAAAAAATTACAATTTCAACTTTGTCACATTCATCAAACGACCTAAATATTAGTTCAACTGATCCCAATTTCATTACAGCAATTGTAATAATTTCCTTTTTATAAAAAAAAAATCTGTTTCGAATTTATTACAACTATTTTCGTGTACTATAAATTCATCGATCCGAATTGACACTAATTGCAATTACGAAGAAAGCAACGTTCGCGTTTCCATGGATTCAAAGAAATTCCCCACACTTTATTTTTACATCTAAACACAGAATTTGTTGTTTTTTTCATATTATCGAATTTTTTTCCTCGCGTTTCAATGCCAAAACGTTTTGGAATTACCGCAAGAATTCATTTGAATTTTAAACTGTTTTAATTACAAAAAAAAAAAAAACTATTTCTTAAGAAAAACAAAAAGTTGCTAAAGATATTTGTGGCAATACGCAAAAGGTGTTTATTTTGTTTTTTTTTGTTGAAGAGGAAATCAAAATAAATAATGGAAATGAGAAACGCAAACAGCATTGGCGACGTATTAAAATAAATGATGATAATGGCAATAACAAACGCGATTTTGGACAAGGTCAAGCGCGCGTAGAGAGAGAGTGGAAAAAAAAAATATAGTTGGCCGCGTCCAATCGTTGTTTCGTTGTTGTTTCGCTGTTGTTGTTGTTGTTGATTGGTCTATTTCGAGAGAATTCGATTTGTTTTTCGACCATCTTGAATTTTGTTTTTCGTCGGTCACGCCCCACGTCCGTCGCGTCGCGTTGCCCATTTGTTTAGAAGCGACGTTGCTTAGGACCCGTTTCTAGTCGGGATTTTTCGGTCGGGATTTCGTGGGTGGGGCACCGAAAACCGAATTGTCCCCCGTCACCCATTGGTCCAAAGTTTCCATTTTGGTCACAACAGACACACACGTAAACCAATCGCAATTAACAAACGTGAATGTGAATGTAAAATAACAATTTTTTGTTTGTAAGTTGTTTGTCTTTTGCCAAAAATAGAAACGCGTCAAGTCACGCGCCGTTCAAACACAATCAAATCGCGTTTGACCATTGAAAATAACCGTTGAATAGTTCCAGACGCGATTTCCGCTTCGAAATACACAATACGAAAACGAAATTACCGACAATCGATTTATTCAATATTTGCACAACTATTTGTTATTTCATCAATCGATTTTAGTGAAAATCTTGAAATTTTCATTCATTTCCATTAATTAATCATGAAAACCCAAAAGAAACAATTGGAAAATTTAAAAAAATTGCAACATTCGGATATCGTTTAAAATAATTGAAGAATAGAACAAAAGCATTTTTTTTTTCCAAATAAACGAACATTTTAGAAGAAGCAAATTATTTTTTTGTTTTTTAACAAATTGAATCATGTTCCGCATTTTTCGCACATACTTTCTGTGAAAATCTTGAAAGTTTATTTTTATTTCCATTAATTAATCGTGAAAACCCGAAAGAAACAATTGGAAAATTTAAAAAAATTGCAACATTCGGATAGCGTTTAAAACAATTGAAGAATAGAACAAAAGCATTTTTTTTCCAAATATACGAAAGTTTATTTTTGTAACAAAT